GGTTAGAGACAGGTTAGTGACAGGGTTAGAGACAGGGTTAGAGACAGGTTAGTGACAGGTTAGTGACAGGGTTAGTTTACCCTAACTGATTAAATAACGAACTAACTAACTTAATAACTAAAGGATTACCAAACTAACTAACAGACTAACTGACTAACTAAGTAATGAAAACTGTGTGGATAATTTTGAAATATTCTCTTGAACTTTACCTTGATAACAGAACTTCTTCTAAACAAAGTCCATTCATAAATCTCACAATTGAACAAGTAGTGTCTGATCCATACAGTTAGATTTATAAATAAATATTTATACCTTTAAATTATATATAAATATTTTTAAATTCCTGAACATGTGACTCTGATGAACTAATGAGTTGTGAGTTAATGTTCGTCAGGAGAAGTAATGAGATGTAATGAGATGAGATGTGATAAGATCGTGAACAGACTGATAACTGTGTGTCTCATGATGATGATGTCATCAGGCTGAAGAAACCCATCCAGAGGAAGAAATATGGTTTGTTGCTCAACGAGTCGGTGGAGATGGAGGAGGTGGAGACTGACGAGGACGACACACTGTTCGAGGCTCGCAGCCTCCGCAGGTCAGCAACACAACTACACAATAACAACACAACTACACAATAATAACACAGTGACATCACAATAACAGCACAACAGTCACATCTGACTTTACTCCAGAACACATGAGGATCGTTTACATGTGTGTGAACTCGCTGCCTCCAGAGGTTTTAACCTTGTTTATAGTTCAATTCTCAGTTTGAACTTTGAGCATCTGACAGCGTCCACGTCTGGATTGTGGTGACGCGCTGTAACCGAAGTATTGATCTGATTGTGTCTGTGTCTCTGCTCAGATGAGTCCAGAGGAAGACGTGGATCAGGATCCTGTCAGCTGATATTGATTATGGATCAGGAGAGAGAACTGATCAGACTCTATTATTATTCTTATTAATATCACAATGAATGCAGATTAATGCCAAAGCTACAGCTGCTCCAGGAGCCGAGCAGGATAATCAATATTTTTTTATGTGGCGTCAGATGATGTGATCGTGATGATCGTCATGACGACAAACTTCCCTCTGAGTCTCATCTTTTTCTGAGAGTTTTACTCTGAGCTTCAAACTTCTGACGGACACGACGCAGCAGTGACTGATCAGACCGAGGAGGCGTGTTCCACCTGAAACTGTCCAGATAATGGAGCTCCGCCCCCAAGGACTCAAACTAAACAACCACATTTTCTATGTTTTCTGCTGCGTGATTGAACATTTTTGACCACACCCACACACACAGACACACACTCATACACACAGAGACACACACTCATACACACAGAGAAACACACAGAGAAACACACACAGACACACACAC